TTATTCCAGTGTGGCTATGATCATGATTCAGTTTCAGCTTATAAGTCAACGATTCTCAAGTTTTTTTCCATCTAGACCTAGGTTATAACACATACCAAGTAATGACAACTGACAACAATTTGCACCTTTACTGTCAGTCTCAGCTGAGTGATGACACCAGAAAGACCATTGCACATTCTTACCCTTAGATATGGGATCTGGGACACAGCAATTGGGAACATGAGGATGGCACCCCTTGCTGATGCTTTTTTACCAGCCAGTGAAGGGAATTGTTTTGGCAGTCTAGCGTCTTCACAATATATTTGACTAAGTGGTTTTGAAGTGTAGAAACATCCAAACTCCTCTATTTCTTCTAGCTTTAGTACTATGTAGAGTTTCTGATATTTCCCAGAAGTGCTGTCTGAGAAGATCTGTTGCATCACAAGTCTTTCCACAAGGGAAACACACAGATGTTCCTAGCATCACAGAGAATAACAAACGATATATTTTGCAAGCATATACAGGATCAAATTCTCACCCAGTATTATACCAGGAAGACATGTTGTTGGAAAGAATGTATTTTTTTTGCTTATAAACAGATTACCATGCAAATACTTTTATGTACAAATCACAGAAGTGTTTATCCATGCTGAACAATAGGATTATTTTCCCCTTCTCACATGCACATGCACACAAACATTCTTGTTTTTTAGAAAAGAACAGAAGGACAGTTTGAAGATCAAAATGTTTGTTTCTTCTCCAAACATCATCCTTTGAGCACTCTAAAGTAAGCATCAGTAAGAAAAATCAGAGGCACTCCTGGAAGGGAGGATGTAGTTTTTCCTGACATTTTTCTCCATAGAGTGCATACTAAAACCTCTCCCCAAACCTGGGATTAGTTATTACAATCTGTGCACCGGGACACAGAGAATAGCTACTGGCTGTGAGCCAGTAAGCAGCGTGGCTTCCTGCCAGCTATCCTGCCACTGCTGGAGAGCCACTCTGCAGTGACAGCATCTGGATAAGTGTGATCTGCACCAATGGTTTTGACATGTCCCTGGTCATACAACTTTCTGTGGGCCCCAACTGTAGCCTCATTTGCACCAAGTCGTTGAGTCAAAAATATCGACATTAGGCAATATTGTCATTGTTCATTAGCATCAATGGGAACTGCCTTTGGATTAGACCTGTGGATTTTGCACTCCATTGGAAATGTACATGTTTTTCCCTTCATTTTTCTTGCCATAAGAAGAGAATATAAGGGTCCCTCTTTTTTGTTTCTTTGTTTTGGTAACCTGTTCAGCCAGCATATTTAAAATAAAGCACTCTTTATACAGTCAGGTATGAAACACAAACTAGTTTTGAGGCACATTCTACTTCTATATTTACTTTAGGTAAACTAGAAATGTCCCGCTTTTCTTTTCTTAACATATTTGGTCTGTTTATCTTTGAAACTGCAATGTTAGCAAGACAAGATCCTCTCAGGTTCTTGCTGCAGTGTCTTTTATTATGCTTATACAAAAGGGAATGCACAGTGCCTTTGAGACCTTAAAGAAACCCGACAGAAAGGACAGGCCTTTGAAGTCTAAAAAACATGTATAATCTACTTTTACTTAGTCTAACAGAAGAACCATATTTACCATGCTCATGTCATTATGGATTTTAGGTTTTTGTTCTGAGTACAAGGTGTATGATAGCCTTGAGATTATCAATTTTGGATATATTTGAAAGTTGTCTTTGATCTCCTTAAAGCTATCAATCTCAGCTTTGGAAGGAACAAAGAGATAAGAGAAACTAGAAACCTAATTTGCATTTGATACCTCTGGAAAAAAAAGCAGAAAAAGCATGGAACTAAATAACTAGAAAGCCAAAAGTCTTGCTCTATTCACTGCAGGGTGTTTGTAAAATTGCTTGTTTTATAGCTAGAGAGACATCCAACAGACTGTAGTGAGATAAAAACCAGTAACTCAATTATAGCCATGGGCAGCCTTATTCTTTATATGGCTCGTAAAACTAGGATTTGTTTGTAATGATGAACTAGAACCTGTATCTTTTGCAAGATATAAGCCAGAAGCCACACAATAGAGGCATTTGTTTAGACTTCAGAAAGAAGTCTGATAAAAACTAGATGTTAATTATAAAACGGAATAGAGGAATAACACTCTCTTAAGGGCTCTGAAAGTGTGTTTTGATAATTTTTCTTTTGAATCAATTTCATCCATTCTCTTATCACACCACACCACATCTTCTCCAATGATTCAATACCAGCACACAAATACTGCATGGCTTTTTTCCCATTATCAATATGAATGAAGTGCCCTACCAGAAAGGGTCAGAAAAGCCATTGCCCTTTCCTTGTGTAATTGTTTTCTGAAAAAAACACACTTCTCTTGTGTTGTCTGCAAGAAAATGACCAGGTCAACATGCACTTCTTCAACATTGCCAACTCTAACATAAAAAATATAGCAGCATCTATACTGGAAAACAATGTGTAAATGCCTAGCATAGCTGAATGCTTTACTGCACACAGTTCTCCCCTGAAGAATAAGTACAAGGCATTTGAAGGAGAGCCTAGCAGTGTCATTTAATACAAAGGGGTAGGCAACTTCCCCTTTATGCCACTCAAAGTCTTCAAATGTCTGAGTGACTATGAGATACTGCACACAGTTGAGAGGACAGAGAACTCGAGGGATAGTTTGTGGGTGGATATTCAGCATTGGTTCACCAGCCAGCTTTCAAACTCACAGTGAGAGACTGTTGCAGCAGAGCTAAGCTCTGGTGTAACCAGCCTTACTACCAATCCATCCGCTTCCTTCTGCACCTAGAGACCCAGACTGTTCTGTAGACTGCAGCTTGAACATGCACTGTCAAACCTCCAGAAAAGCAGTAAGAAGCATTTCACCATGTATGAAAATACCTGTGCCCAGGAGCGATAGCTGGCTGTTTCTGTATTACTGCCAGGTGGTCTTACACTCTGATGATTTCAGCCTGAGAATCAATGAATAGGACAGAATAGACTCTCATCAGCCTCATTTAATTATCTCATAAGGGAATTGCTCATGGATCAGAGGACATGAATTGAGGTACATACAGACACCAACTGAAATCCTGTTTTTTCACTTACAACTACCTGCAAAATTCTCACTGATAGAAATGAAGGCAGAATTTCATCCATTTAAACTAAAAGTGGAAATCCCTGTAGAAAAAATGAGAAAGGGTTACATAGGTTTGAAGGAAGGACATTTGACAGTTAAGGTAAGCCAAATAACTTGTATAACATGATCCATTCTCTTAGTTGAGGTAACACATCTCACTTCATTCCTAAACAACAGCTGGGGATGAGGTGTGTTGGAGGGTTTGGGGGTGGATTTTGGTATTGGGTTTTTTTCCCTCTTTATTGTAGCAAACGATAGACTGTAGGTTATTTAAGTCAGATTAAAGACTTTCACATTTTTTGCATATTATTGTATAATATTTGTACTCTGAAATTCTTATTAGAGCCTACAGTAACTTCAATGACATTTTCACAGCATCAGGTAGTACAAATGACATGCTAGTTTCAGTGCATATTCTTCTGTTTTCTGTTTCAACCATTCTTTATTTATCCTCCTGTCTTATGGCAGAAGTTCTCTTTCTCCTCCATTCCGTGAAATACTAACTGATAAAGTTCTTGTAGTTTCAAACCATTCTACAGCAGCAAGCCCTAAATACTCACTGATGTATTTGAAAGCTGTGTAAACCGCTGTCTGAAACAGGGATATCTAAAGTGTAGTGTACTGAAGCGTGAGACATTTTTGTGGATATGGAATTCTGTTTCTTTATTTTTATATACCTATTTCTAAATTTAGAATTAATTCAATCTGACAGTCCTTCATTAAGCTTTTGTGTGTTGTCTGAGGATCTCCATTTATGGAAACCATCACTGAGAATATTCTTCTTCTTTTCCAATAATATAGAGCAGGAGCAATTCTGAAAAAGTCTGCAACAGCTTTGCACCTCAGGGTCTCAGCTGCTTTTTAACTCATCTTGCCACTTAGGATGCTATTCAAAACTGGATGCAAAAGAACATCATACTGCCAAAATTTTGTTAGAGTGGTATGAATAATAGCAAGATTAACTAGAGGAAATTGAAGCCCAATGTGGTTCCAGCAACGTAAGTGACCTGAGAATAGATATTATGTCCAGTTTCTTGGTGTCGGTTTATAACAGTGAGGACCACGTTCTTACATTTCTGAATAATGCTAAGGATCATTTCAGCAGTATATTTCACTTGTTGACATAATCTATGATGTTCTAATTCTTTGCTACAAATTTCCTCATTTTTGCTGTGAAGACATTCAACAGATCTATACTCTATTTTCACCCTAGTAGATTTTCCTTTCTGAATCACTTCTAATAAAATATATAGAACCAGTTCAATAAAAATGTTGCAATTAATAAAACAAATCCATGGGTCAGTTCCACTGCAATCAATGAAACATTTCTGTCAACTCCATGTTCTGATTCCAGTGTTGGATTTCAGTGGACCAGAAAGCACACTAATAAAATGTAATGAGAAGGTTATTTTAAAGGAAATAGGGGCAGAAAATGGGCAGGAGTAAAGGAAAAAGACTGAGAAAATTTTTCCTTAAGGGAGACATCATTCATCAGGGGCCTGATTCAAAGCCCATAAAAGCCAATGGAAAGCCCCTCAGTGACATACAGATTGGCTTCAGATTAATATTTTTTTTTCTCAAAAACATAAAAGTCGGAGCCTGGTGAATGTTCCTCTATATTTTACAGACAAAATGTTTATTTATTTACTTGGTATTGAAGACTTATCTGAGATCTAGAGTCTCAGAGTATAAGATAGTAAGACCTGATAATTGCTGATACATAAAATCAGTGAGTTACTGATCTACTTCCTGAGTAAAATAAATAAAGGGTTGATTCTTTTTGTGACTAGAGTACTTGATTGTGATTAGTTTGTTCATTTTTCCTGACCTTTTTTTATCCTTATGTCTTGTTTTCCAGCACACTTCTCTCCTCAAGCTTCAGTACACCAAAGCTGAACTAGCCTAGCGGGCAGCATTTCAGTTTCAAAAGACATAGAAACAAGAAGGATGCTATGCAGCGGAAAATAAAGTGAGTTTTATTCACACCCTATGTAATAAAAGTAGATTAGTCACCACGAGAACTAAAACGTGTGGACCAGACCTCACAGAATGAAAACACATGCATCTCCACTAGGAGCTAAATATTCTCTTCTGCAGAAACTCCCACTCTCCCAGTTCTTGGGTCAAGGATGATAAAATATATCACACAGATTTATTGAGACTAGCTCTATGCTTCTTCTAGTAAAAGGAAAAGGACACAAAAACACCTCTCTGCTCTTGCCGTGCAGCTCATTATCATGCTTAAACCTGTTAAGATTGCAAAGGCTGCTGGGAGCTAATGCTGGCATTAATTAGCCTCATCAGACTGGGTCAGGAAAAGAAGAGGGTTATGACCATTTAACCTGACATATTCTGATAAGAGATTTAAGGCCAAACAATCTTTTTGTAATCTTTGTAGTTGCTGGAAGTCAGTGAATATATGGTTTGGTTCTTACTAAAGAGTTAACACAAGCCTGACATGAGGTGCTATTACGCTTCTGCTTGCCTAGAAATGCATAGATTCAACAAGAAAAAGCCCTGGAAACTTTGCAGTGAAGCTTCTGAAATAGTGTCAATGGTTTGGTTAAGTCTAATGCTATGTTTCTGTACAGCAGGAATTTCAAGAAGTTATGAATGTATAACTTCTATAATAAGGAGCTGTTTTGGAAATCTTAAATAATACATCAAAAAAACATATGCTGAAAATGGATCCCAAAAGATCAATTTCCATCGTACTGTGGTATCCTACTCTTACAAAACTAATTCTCAGCATTCCTCAAAGTTAATTGAACTTAATGTTCAAGGAACTTAAATGTTTATATTTACATCTAATAAACAAAGTACCCCCTTGCTTCATAATTTTTTTGAGAACGCTGGCTAACAAATTTCTCTCTCCAGACATAGGCTGGATATATGATAAGAGGATCTTTGTTATGAATCAGGCTAAGAAATATTTTTCTCATATAATCACAGGTTCAGAAACTATCTCTAGTTCCATATGGAAAATACCACATAAAAGTAAGTGTAATGATGACAGTGAAGAAGAAATGTTGATGTGCAATCTCAAAAGCAAGGTAGATTGCAGTGGAAGTTTAGCAGTGTCATTTGAAATAATTTTTACTCCTTTGAAGTCAGCAGTTTTGAGATGTTATCATCTGCTGATTTTGAAATCTCATGTGATCATATTCTGATTAGTTTTTCCAATCCCCTTTGATCATTGCTCACATAACATTGTAACCTTTTCTAGGCTGATTCAGCAAACTATGTATAGAATTTAATGATAATGAAAAATTATTTGAACTCTCTGTCTTTCATGATAATCCCTTGTGGGACTGATGAATTTTAGGAAAAAATTGCTTTTGTCTTAGGTGAACAGTTTTGTAGTTAAGCAGAGGAATTCAATCCATAGAGTATTTATATAGAAGCTTTTACCAGTGCTGAAAACAGTGCTGCTGTTGCTTTGAAAAGACAAGGAAAAAAGTGCAATATATTATTTCATCTCTATATAATCTCCTTCTGTCCTGAGATGTCATGTCCATGTCCCCTTTAGAACTTGTGGTCTGAGCACTGCAATGTTATGTTGTAAAATAAGATATATTAGGATATTCAGAGAAATACTAACTTTCATATTAATAAAAAATAATTATTATATTCATTATTCATTTTTAAGTTGTAAAAGTAACTAAAGGCTACAGTGATGATGAGTCCTTTATGCTGGATACTGCATGAACAGATAATAAAATCTGTAAAACGTCTATCACCTTCCAAATTTCAGTGTAGTCAGCATAGCAAATAAAACCTCTAGACATTTCAAATAACTTAGACAGGCTGCATCAGAAAGGTTGGGCACTAAGGGACCATGGAATAGGTAAAGTGTCAGTTGTTTCTTCTATGGTTTTCAGCTGATTTTCAAAAGAAGCTATAGGAATATATTGCTGATGAAGACGCACTATTTCAATGAGTATGCAAACTGAACTATTACGTCTTTGTGGTTCATCCATCACCACATGACACTGACACCTTGATAAATCATCATTTATTTCTAACTTAGTTTATGCATGATTTTTCTGCAATGTAGGTGATTATACTTGGTTACAGATGCTAATTTTCAAAAGTTTACAAAAAGTGAACCATTTTATGGAGGCCAAGTCAGAGAAGATAGCAATGAGACATTTGTAGCATTTCACCTCAAAGCAATTCGACTGGAATCAAGTCAGAAGAAACTGGAGTTGTGGCTATCCAAAGTTTTCTAGTCATTTACCCAGAGTTGATTTATTATCTCTGTTCAGTTCCCAGTGTCTTATATAACAAAAAAAAACATATGCTGGTATGATTTCGAGGAAAGGATATTCCTCCCACAGGCATAAACATTTCTGCAAGTTAGAAGAAATGTAATAGAGAAAAACTGAGGGCATTTTATTTTCTTGAATATTCGCAGACAGCATATTCTATACATTTCATTTATATTGCAGTCCATGCTTTATTTATTGGTATGTTCATAATCATAACAATGACTGTATCTAAAACCCTAGGTGTATATGACCGTTGATTTAAAAAAGCTGTGATATTTAGAGTTTTTATATGAGTGAAGTAATTAAAAACAAGACATCAATGATGGAATGTCTACAAAGATAAAACTGATACTATACTTGTATAGAAACCATCTGTGGGTAGGTTAAAAACATTTATATATTGTGCAGGAATAAGCTCATAAAATGCCACACGCTGTTTGATTCAGCCAAAGCTATTTGGCTAATTTTCTGGTCGGATCAGAAAAGAAAAAAAACCTGAAAACAAGAAAATAAGAGTGTCCCTTTGGTCAGGGAAGGTATTGCATGATTATCTGTGCAAAAGAAAATTCCATCCCTATAAAAGTGGTCAGACAAGAGTTATGCTGCATCTTGAACCTAAAGGTGGAGGAAATCCATTACATATGTACACAAGGCTGCAGGGAAAACGCTGATCTGAGCATATAGGTTTTGAGCATGGCGGTGAAATGTGTTTCAAGGAACACAAAGAAGAGGATGCAATAATGAAAGCACAAATGGATTAGTGAGAGATAGTGCTCGTATATTAGATGGACATTTTTTTCCCATGATGCCACAAAAGAAAAAGTAACACAAAGGTAGAAGTATGGGTATTAATTAAAAATAACTGAGAGCCTGTCATTCTGTCACTCATATAGTACTCACACATGCAAACCCAACCTATATAGGGAGCACGTTATGCTGCAATATCCAAGCATATGCCATATAACCTTTTCATAAGACTGCTCTGGTTTACCAGTGTGGAAAGGCTCAGAAAAAGAGCTTGCAATGCTCACAGAGAGTAAGGTTTGTTTCACAATGGAGAGTTTACCAAAACAACACTAAATTAGTTTTAGTCATTCAGATGCACTTTCAAATACAGTGAAGAGTTCTCACACATGACTTGTTTTTAAACCTCACTCTCATAAAAATCAATACATTTCAGGAATTGTCTGTAGGTTCACACTAGCCTAGTAGCAGCATAAGTTTTCGTTACACCAGTCTAACATAATCGCTGCTATAATACCTATTCCCAAAATAATTCTCTTTCCTCATCTCCCTTTTCCCCTGCAGGTTAAAAGTAGTAGCAAATCTCAGTCTCCACCTACAACGAAAGAAGTGTTTCAAAGGGTGATGGCTGTCTTAGGCGAAGGGAAAAGAATAAAGAAGCTGAGAGTGAGCTGACAGAATCAAGTGAGTACATGACTCTTGAGCGATGCTTACCATTGTCAGAGATATCCTTTAGGGAAATTTTCCATTGCAGATGTCATACAGTAAATGAAGTGGAACAGAATTAATACAGAACCTGCAAGACTAACAAAGAAATTTTCAGGGCTGCAGTTCTTTGTTGCTCTTCCCGTTCTACAACTACTCTTTAAATTGACTGCATTTTGGGATGAACTGATATACCCTAGCTTTGAGCCTCTGATATTTAAACTGCTTATGATCCCAAACACACATCACAACATTGGTTTGTTTTTAGTCAAAAAACAACTTGCATCATATTCATATGGAACATCCATGTGTTGAAATATTTTTGTAATCAACTAGTATAGCAGAAAGAAAAACTTGTTTTAGCCCTTCTCTGTAGTCATTTTTTGACCCATTAAAGGTTGGAAAAGTGGGAAAGAAAACCAATGATGTAGAAACACTACAAATTTTCTGTGAAGGAAAGGGAATTGTGCAGGTTTGTTTGTTGCTTTTTTATTTTTTTAACTACCTTCCTAGCCAAAAACAGAAATAAGAAATCCTTCAGACAAAATGCCATAGAAATTCAATAACTCAGCCAATATCAGTGGAGGATCTGTAACAAGGAATAATTCTATCAGCAGTAAATGCAAGTAAAAAAGTTGATAGGATTTTCTGATTGTAGCAAATGTATCAAAGGAGTGTTGTTGTTCTCTCCCTTATCGCATGTGGTCATAAAAGAAATTATGGCAAAATCCTGGAGAAGAAAAAAGTGTTTGTTATATACTCCTTCACACAAGGAAATGGGCATTGTCTTTTGGGTGCGCAATTAAAATACTTAACAACCATTTCCACACTTAGGCTGCACTGAGCCCTTTTTTTTTTTTTTCCCTTCCCTTTTTTAACAGAATATTTTATTAGTTTCTAATTCTGCTTAGGACCCACTTTAGTCATACTTTCTGCCTTAGATTAATTACCCTGATCTAATTCATTTAGTGGAGGACAGCTGTGGTACGTGGGTTGCCCACTGATGTATTGTGTTAAATGATGCCCATCTGTCATTGCAGCATATCACCATGGATTCAGTGTCATCCACTTCATTGGCTCTGCTGAGATGTGAAGTACAGCTATGATGTTTACCACTGTTGTTAATTTAATATCTACACCTTTAATAACCTGACTGCTGTCATTCGCTGAACAATAATACATGATGGCCAGTGAACAACCAGGTAGAAGGCATTAACTTGACAGCATAGTAGACCATTTGCGACAGTTAATTAGAATACTTCCAGGCAGACTTATTGTTGAGGGTCTTGTAGGTCATTCCCATGCAAAAATGCCTTATTGAAAATAAAGGTTAAAAAAAAAAATCCCTGTTAACAGTGATACTGACAAGTATGATCATTAGCCCATTCTCTTGACTCAGAAGTGGTAATTTTTTATAAGACCTATTTTCTCTTACCACAGATCTGTCTTCTGCTCTTTCCTCTAGCCTGCTTCCTGTCTCTCCTCATTTCTTTACCCCTTTCTTTCTCTAAAAAAGAAAAAGGTTGGGGGTAGCACATCCAAACACAAACTGTCATTTAAGTCCACTGTTTTAAAGGTAAAACCAATGTGGGTTTCTCATTGTACGAATGCCAGGTCCAGACATTGACCCTTTAATGAATGTGAAGAAGTAACCCATTCAAAGGGTTCTATCTGTTGTTTCTTTCTGAATGGAAAAGGTAATAACAAGAAAAAAATAGTAAATTCTTATCACAAAAGGTTTCTTACACAGTTGAAACAAATGTAAATTGATGTTCGTATATTCTGTAGAGTGATATTTTTAAAAGCTGTAATATTTTATCTGTAGGCTTACATGAAAACTTCACTGGACAAAAAAGCAAATGCATGTGGAAAGAAGTACTGTGTGCTGTTAACCCACTTTCATGTATCTGTGCAGACAGAAATAGACACACACACACACCACCGCACTGGTTATCTTTTTTTAGGGAGCTAGGGAAACCCATATGATTGCCTGCAGCTGGTAGTGTGTGATTAGTGTTTTAAGACTCTTGGCTGTTTGCCTCAAACAGATATTCAGCTTTGGAGCAAGGCTACCACCTGTTACACAAGCTTGCAAAACCTCAAGACTCAAATTAAATAATTTGGAATGTTGTTTTTAGAAGAGTCTTGATGAGTCCATTGCTTTGCTTCTTTCTTTTAGAAGGGCCTAAACAGGAAGGGTGCCTCAGTGGTCACAGAATGGAACAAATAGTTCTTCCACAGCTTTTCCATTCAATTTTACACTGCCCAAGAATAGAAGGATTTGCTAGGGGCCTTAGAAGTTTAAATGCCATTAAGGATCTGGGACTTCATGTTTGTTTGCCTGTTTCCTAGTTGCAAAATGGGAACTTTCCTATTACAACTAGCATGGCATTAAATGCCATTGAGGATCTTCATGTGCAACACTGACAGACAGCACACTGATACAGGCTTGAGAGCTGGTTGCTAAATGTCGATGTTACATAAGAGGACCCTAATGCCCCAAGGCTGGCTTGGTTAAAATAAGCCTGTAAGCTTCTGTCGAGAAATTCGTTCCATAGACAAAGTGTAATTCATTATAGTTTACACTGCATAAGATGATCTAGGACTATAATAAAATTTAACTATCTATCTGGCCACTTACAACTGGGTTAGACTGGTCTTAAGAATGACTAAAAAACAGAGATAAAAATCACACCTAACATAAGAAGACCTGCAACAAGAAGCCTTAGGGTATAGCAACAATCAAGACTTAGAAAGCTCTATAAAGAATAGCTTCATATAATTCATGAAAGAAAGATACATCTCCTTATTTCCTGTACTCAAATAAAGTAAACCCAATATTTTACTATGGAGACTGCTTTCCCAGAACTAACAAGATTTTAACATGTTCCTGAAAAATAGTGAAGTAATATTAGCAATGGTCTAGGATTTATGACTCTGACAAAAGGAGATATAATATATTTTGAGAAGTATTTACGTTGCCACAGTTTTTGCAGGTCACTGCACACCATAGTTCAAGCTTCAGAGCTAAGGGTTAATTAACAGCAAAACTCTCATTTTGATTACCCAAAATACCGTCCATTTATCTACATTTTTTTAAAGAAATATTCTTTAAGAAATCAACTTCAAGAATTTTAGTATGCCAGCTCTTTGAAGAGTTTGGGGGATTTTTAGTTAAAAGTCTCAGATTAGCATTATAGAGAATGAGTTCCAAGTCATAGTATCCAACTGTTATTTTAATATTTTATCTACCTTTTTCCATCATACAAAGAAATATTAGAAGCCACCAAACTGTGAACAAGGTGTCTGCAAAGAACCTGAATGTGAAGCCATGTAGGTGCTCCACATATAAATACCTTTGCTGACTACTGTGAAATGCAGGTAGTTGACTCTGAACACAGATAAACAACTCCTTGGGTACAATACAGATAGAACAAAGCTGCTGAATTTCATTCTATTCCCAGTCCATTTACATGGTGAAAATGACAAATTGCATTGTTTCAAGAAGAAACAGGGGCCCAAATATTTCTGTTTTTAAAGCCTTATGAAATGGCTCACATCTTTAAGTTTGCAAGCAGGAAACTTCACCAAAAATTTTCCTTTTTGTGTGTGTCCTACTCTTCCCTCAAAGAATAAAGTGAGACAAAGGATAGATAGCTTTAAAAGACTGGGTGTTCATTAGATTCAACTGAAAATAAGATTTTTCTTTAAACCATTCTTCCTGAGATCACACACAAAAAAACTTTGGGAGAGACAAATAGACCATGGAGGAAGACAAAGAGGCAACTTTAATTTAATAGGCTCAGTTTTTAACTTTTTCCTTTTAGAGTAACAACATGTTTCAATGATAAAAATACAAGCTAGTTGAGCCAAAGGAAGGCAGACAGGTTTAGGGGAACCAGACACAGAAAATGGGATTTGACTGCATCCAGACATGTATTCATTCTTGATTTCCTTTAAAGATGGCAGAAATCTTCTCAAGATAGTTAAAGGCAAATTAGGTAAGATTGGTCTTATTTTAGAAAATACATCTAAAACAGGCCAGATGGGTAATTCTGTAAAAATAAAAAAATAAAAAAAATAAAAAAAAATAAAAAAAACCAAAACAACAAGAGAAATTCTACCCTGCAGTTTCTATTGAGAAGAGCACTTTCTTGCTGGATAGTGTGTTCTCCAGCTGCTTGGTAAGAAGCAGAAAGCAGGAGACTGCTATGCAAAGCAAAAGCAGACTTCCTCCTAACTAGTCCAAAGGAGGCAAAGTGTATAGGAATGACATATGCATACATGCATGGGATGCACTGAGGGAGATACATAAATAGCAACTAACAGCCATTTTCCAAAGAGACAAGAATGTGTTAAAGTCATAATATAAGATGGAACTGCAAAAAAACATAGGTCCAATCACCTTTCTTCAAAAACCAGTTCTTTCAAGCTGCAACCAGCACAGAACTTGTAAGCTCAAATAATCAAAGGAACAAAGCACCTGTGTTTCAAACTGTGGCAATCAGACTTTGAGGTAGAGAATATCCAGAACAGAATAAAATAAAAGTAAGAAAAGAATATGAATGTACTGAGGAGGAAAGGGCAAAAAACTTTAAGAATGAAAATTATCTATTTAGTTAGATGTTAACATTGGTGCATGAGCAAAAGCCTATAAAAAAATAAATTAGAGATGGAAGTTATAAAATGGCTCCTAGCCATTAGGGGCACAGGCACTGCATTCCAGGAGGAGTAGCTAATGATCTACTTGATTTTAGGATGGAATTTTATAAATTTATGATTAGGACCACTGGTCAAGAGACTTATCTAGCTGGGCTGTGGAATAGGTTAAGAGTACCCTGAACAAACCTAGAGAAAAACTATGTGTTCCTATGGCCTAGGAGTGCTATCCCAGATCCCCTAAAACACAATTATAATACTGTAGTCCTAGTCTTGAGGTATCAAACTGCCTCTTGTCATGCAGGTTTAAATAAATATTC